GTTCATCATACCAGGAAGGGGAGGGGGTAAAAGTAAAGTTATATAACATTTTATTATTCAATAATTTATTAAAATACATAAGTTTGTCCAAGTCCCTGTGATACAACACCTCAGACATAGCTCATTGTACTCGACTTCAGTGTGGGCACAAAGTTACTATTTGAATTTTTGATATCTTTTTTCATTAATGAGTTAGAGTAACTGTTCACCAGGAATGGCTTTTTAACTCTTCTGCGATTTTTCTTTGGATTGGCTGATTTTGTTCATACTTGACAGGCAGGTTGTAGCACCACTAATTGGAAAAACAATCCTGACCCACTGCTACCATGGCAACAGCCAAAATCCGTTTTTTGAATACTTTCGCCCCAAATTTATTAGATCCTACCAGTCTTGTAATAGCAGTGCCCAAATGATCATGCCTTTTATTCTGGCTACGTTGCGCACTGGTAAGAGATCACCGGCGCCGACATTGTTACACTGTCAACGTAATCCCAACGCAACTTTGAACTTTGAATAAAATCTAAATGCTGCCTCCAATCTAGAAAATACTATCGCAAAACGGTTGGAAATAATACATATTAACGACTGAATACGTCCTAGCAATAAAATAAAGTGACTTCTAAAGACTGAATGTTATTCTGCGAACCTCGTATAAGGTGCCCGGTTTTAGTTATAAACCGACATTAGCTTCACGTTCATGTCCTACCATGATAACAGCCGAAAACATATTGCTTGTTTTCATTGGCAACCGAAGTACTTTTATTTTGTAAACAAATTTTCGTCTGCTATTTTTATTCAGTTCAAATCGTTCAGCAACATTTTTGGCATATTAGGTGTACATCACATGGAATACTACGATTGAGAGAACTTGATGTATGTTGACTGAGTTTTATCATAGTACGAAGTTTTACCAGTTCCAAATAAAGATTACCAACGCCAAATGAGCAACATTTTAACTGGTAATCAAGATTCATTTAATCCATGGCTAACAAGCAACATCACAAGCGAAGTTGTAGCATGCAGTACGAGTAAGTCATCCCGTCAGTAAAGTACCGCAGTAATCAGCATTGTATTCAAACGAATCACGTGGTGTGCCGTTCTCGTTCAAACTGGGGATTCAATCAATAGGGGAGTTTCAGTAAAAAAAAAAAAACATTGCAAATCATGCAAGTTCAACATTTTCAAACCAATATACTAAAAGAGAAATGCTCAGAGATGCAAAAGAAGGATAGATGTTACTTTTCAGTATACACATCTCTGTTGATACTATCCCACACATATTCTACTCCCAATTACTCGTGCGTAAAATGGACTAGTCTCTTTTCATGTTGACATTCAGAGTAAAATCACGTGACAGGCTGTTAAAATTGGCTGTTGCATACACTTTCGCCGGTCTGGAAAATTTGTATACACACAACATACTGAATTTCAGAACAAATCGTGCATTACTTACAGCAGCAGAATACCACAGAAATATCAGACGAAACATGAAAACACTATATATTGTATTTCAGCCTGAACCCTCTATATTGCAATCCCGGGAATTACCCCCATTTCCCATCTTGGTATCACCCAACCCTGAAAACAAATTCTTAATACCACCTGAAGCATTTGGTAATTATTAAGTCCATGAATAAACTGTAGAATTTGTTATTACTATACTGTTTAGTTTGTATTCTTTAAGCCTTTTCCATGTTCACTTAAATATCTGGCCTGATTCAACATAAATAAAAAATATTTTGGACACAACAAACCAATTTCCTTCCACTCTTTTCCAAATACTAGTACAGTAACCACAAATAAGGTGGGCGTGGCATGAATCGATTGACTTGATTTTTGATTTTCGCACCTCAAACTTTTCTGTTTGTTTAGTACTCCGATATACGTTCATTGTCATGAAACCCATTTCTTTACTATTCGCGGCAGTGTGTGTGCGTCGCCGGCGTCATTCTTTGTCAATTTCAGCAACACCGCAATGACCATGACAGAAGTGTGACGTGGTGAGTGCTAAACTAACGACCATAGAGAGTGCAAAACATAATGACCATCGAGGATGTCTCCAGTGAGTCACGACTGTGGAAACTACACAGAGCAATGAGTTGTATATTAGAGGTGAATATACCTACCGTGTAAATGGACTGTCACACATACATTGTCACCGCGGTCCAGAACAACCAAATCTGATGAGTTGGCCATGTTTGTACCGATCAGGTGATGCTTAATCTAATGAAGCTCTGATTTGAAAGCGCCATCAAGCGATCACATGAAATTAAAGTGCGCCATCCAGCGTTGTCGTTGTTGGCGCCCTTGCGTTTTAATGTCATGTGTAACCGTTAATGAAGAAGGTACATACACGTCTCACCTCGTTTTAGGGTTACATTTTATTCACATGCAGTCATAAAATAATCATCAAATCAAATTAAAATAATAAAGGTCAAATAATTATATCTGTACTAGGTACTATCAATGTTTTCCATTTGTTCACCGCGACACCACATTAAAAAAATATAATTAATATAAATATTTATTTATTTATTTATTTATTATATACAATATATACAGTTTCTTAAGGTAGAGATGCATGTTCGTGGGCACTTGGGAGTGAATTTTTTTTTTTGCTTTTTATTATCTAACAGTCTTGGCTATAGACTTAAAATTTTAGAATTGTGAATAGTGGAACATACTCAAAAAACAATTTTAAAATATAAATAACAGGTGCAAACATTCTCTCTTTTGAATGCTTAGCAAGATTTAGCAAGGCTGTACATAAATAATAAAAAAGAAACATGGTGAAAAAAGAAATGACGGGATCTCCATATTATGCACTATATTTAACTTTTAATAAAACGATAATACATTTAAATTTGGAACTGTTACAGCCATTTTAATTATGAGCATTAGCAAACTTCTTACTGAATGAATTGTTATGCAAATTAGCAATTATCTCAGGTTCTTTTTAGTGCACATCTCAACTTTAAAAAAAAATAGCTCCTAGACGCTTTGACCTTTTGTTTTGAAATTTTCACAAATGATAGACAATGTGTTTATGTGTGCAAAACGCCGTCGGGGCATTGTTTTTGGTTGAACAGTGTTACAACAATCGTACAGACAACTAGCCTGGGTGTTAATTTATGCATAAACTCGAAGTAGGGAAATTTGAGCTGCTGCCTTGCAAAATTGGCAACTGGTAGACAGTTATCAAGACGGCACTTTCTTCATAGTAATGTAAACAATGCGGGTTTCGTCTATCAGGGGTTGTTATGGGTGGATGGTTCGTCAGGTTGAATACACGGGAAGTGGTTGTAACGGGGAATGGGTAACTCGCAAGGCAGTGAGTGGTACACTAGGATCGCTCGACACTTATATGCACCATTCAGTCATACGGACACCAGTAATATAGTATAGCCGGATATTTATTACCACTACAATTGTCACCATACGCCCCCGGTCCTCTTCTCACTTAATACGCTAGAACCCCCCATTTTTATAAACGACAGTGTTAATCGTTTAACCAATAGTCTAAATACTTTGCATGCGTTGTCATGACGGCATGTGGACTCCGCCAGTGAGGGCGTCGCCCCATAGCATCGTCATGACAACATCAATGCAACTTGGTGACAGTAAACAGATGTACCCATAAACCAATTTTGACAGGAAACAGAAGCATGGATTAGAAGCTAATTTTTTTAAATCACTTTTGACCAAAAAAGCACATTTTTGTGCATATTTAAAACTACAGTGTTCATAAATAAAAAAAAATACTAACAAAATTATAAAATTCATACATAAGCTTTCCGAAATTATATCGTTTTGTGGACAAGGGAGGTCATCTTGGTTTCCTAATTAACTAATTAAAATACTTGTCAGGTAAACTGCATCTCTACCTTAAACACGTGATTGTGTCATT